ATAGTTATAATAAATTCAAAAATAAATATAATAAATTATATTTCCACTTTGCAACGCATAGTGTGATGGTTGCAAACATTAAACTGCTTGTTAAGAATTTTGCCATCCGAAAAATTTTTTTTTTTTAGTGGGTTTTTAAAGTATTGCTAATTCTCGTATAAATTCTTTGAAATGTTTTTAATGTAAAAGTCTGTTGGTTGTAAAAGTTTCTTGGTTTCAATTTCCCTTGGTTTCCAAATAATCTGAAGTATGTTAATTTAACAATCAATTGTTTATATTAATAGGGCTGTCAAAAATTTGAAAATGCCTGCTCGGGTACCCGTCAAACGAACAGACGGATACCCGGCTACCCGTTCAAAAAAATTTTTTTTTTTAAAGTTGTTTTTATAAACTGTCAATAAAACGTTTTAAATCAATAATGTCACTTATTAACAAATCTTTTTTTTCTAAACTTTATTTTACTTTAAGTGTCAAGGTTACATAAGTCTCAATTACGGTTTAGAAGTATTAGCATCTTCACTGTTTCGGATGCTAAAGATGCACGCCGTTGATTGACAACGTCCCTAGCAGTTAACAAAGCGTATTCTGATGATACTGAAGTCGCATGTGTGCACATGCTCTTGTGTGCTAAAATAGCATAAATATATCTTCCATCTAAAATTATATCTTCCATCTTTCTATCTATAATTATATCTTCCATCGTTCAGATATTGAAAGATTTTTGTCCGAGAGACAAATTAATGAACAAGTTAGATAAATTTTTGTTTCACGTAAAGGAAAATATTGTACACAGACTTAGTAACAGGAATAATAATAATCATTGAGTAATAATAAGTAGGTATCCAAATCAGAAACTCAAATAACTTTCGAACGTCATATCGAACGTTATGTTGAATGTTTTCAAAAATTCTGATGGTGATAAAGAAATTGTGACTGTTAAAATTTTTAACAACAAGATCTTCGAAATCTTCTTTCATATTTTTCAAATTATTATTTTTAAACAGTTGTATTATGATTATTGATTTTAAAATATAAAAATGAATGAAATTAATTTTAAACTTATAAAACGACGGTTACCCGTCATTTGAAAATCCTACCCGGGTAGTAACCAACAGGCGGGTGCCCGTCGACTGTCTTAAATGTTATTTTAATTATCAGTTGTTTAAATTAATATACAGTAAACGCTCTATATAAGCAACTCAATTGAATCAATTTCAAGAAAAAAGTTTCTTATTCGGAAAAGTTGCTTATAACTTAACTTACAATTTAGTAAAATAAATAAAATATTTCTACTTATTTCTTTTACTAACTAAACATTTGCAAATAAAAATATTTTATCATTATTACTATCATATAAGCGTAGTTAATAATTTCATTAAGAAAAAAAAAACATTAAAAGTTCAAATTTTTATAAATCTTTGGTTTAGTACAGGACTAATTGTCAAAACAAACAAAAACAATTACATATATATATTCATGATAAGGAAGAATGTTGTATTGAATTTCATCACTTGGCGAAAAAAGATGTTTAAATGAATTTTGTATATACGGCAATTTCATATCATGTCTGCACCACTAAATAAATAACATTTTTCAAATTTATATTTTTCAGTGCAGAAACTATTCCATTTTCTGCATCTAAGGCTGCAAGACATCCCATTAGATGTTTGCGATAGCGTTGTTTTAGTGATTTTATCACATTTTGATCTAGTGGTTGCAATAATGGTGTGTTATTTATGTGTTATTAGGGGGAGGGAGGACATAATCTTAAATTCGAGTTATCAGTAAAAATTATTATCAAACCCATGGCAAGTTGCACTATCTACTGAGAGAAGGGTTTTTACGAGAAGATTTTAGTTTCCAAGTGTCGAGTTACTGGAGGTATGAATATATCATTATACCAGTCGTTAAAAAGTGTATAAGCTTGTCAAACATTTTTAGATAATTTGTAATATACTGACAAATTCATATTTTTGAAGCAACAAAGAGATTTTAATTTCCCTCTCATCATCAAATTTAATTTATGTATTTAATTTATGTAGCGTTACGCATGGCGTAACAGAACTTTTTATAATTTGACGTTATGTTGTTGTGAACAGCTGATTTTACTTCTGATTTAGCCTAAACTTAACTCAAATATTTAGCTTAAAAAAAAAAAGTTGCTTATACAGAACAGTTGAACTAAAGTTTCTTGTATAGAGGTTGCTTATAAAGAATGTTGTTTACAGAGAGGTTGCTTATATAGAGCGTTTACTGTACTTTGTTCTCTAAAATTGTTTTCTAAAGCTGTTTGATGGCCTAATGATAAATCTTTTTCTTTTTTGTCAAACAAAAATGAAGAAAAAGATTAATTATTATATATTTTGTTAAACAACGTATCTGGTACTGAAAAGTCAAAAGTTAATAATAAATAACTTTTTTTTAAAAATGTAACTTATATTTTTATCATAGACACTACTAAAAATTGCAAAATAAAAAGATAATCATAAAAAAAAACATTTTTCAATTAAGTGCCCGCAGGTTTTTTTTTATTTTTCAAATATGACCTTTTTGGGCATTTCAACCAAACTCTAAAAATAATTATTTTCATATTTTTTACATTATACTAAATTAATTTAATTTTTATCTAAATTCATTTTTAACTTTTTCGTGGACTAGCCAGCTATGGTAAAACAGCGGCTAGCTACTGCAGGAAAAAATTTGGCAGAACAACGGTTAACCATTACTACGCCGTATCATCGTGATTTTACTATTGGTATCCAACTCGGTCATTCATGGGATTGTTCTAGGTTTTTATTGGGCAATTCTATTTGAATCTAATTTATTTTCCTTTTTGCGCCCGTTTTCTTAATTATTTGAAGTTATTTTCAGCAGAGTCGACTGTACTTTTTTGGTTAAAAATTGGCGTAATTTTAACAAAATACGTTAAAATTATTATTAAGGAATTTATATTTACGGAAACATGTTAATCTTTCTGAAAACACTTATATTTCCAAATCTAGATATATAGACTTAGTAACTTTTCCTATCTTGTGCCTCATATGTTAATAATACTTAGGCATCCCATACAAAAATGCTCTAAAATTTAAAACCTCATTATGAGTAATTGTTAGATGACATCATCAGATTACTGGTTAAACATAAAAACTGAATTCTTTCACAAATGCCGATGTAAAGTGTTTTAATATAGCCTGCAACCAAATTGTTTTTTTTTTTTATTGCAACATTTTTCCATAACTCATAAACATAGTTTATTAACTCATAAACATACTTTATTTATAAGTACGATGTTATCTTTATATTATTCCTATTTGATTGTAAGAATATAAAAGATAAATGTGTTGATAACACTCAAATTATGATTATGACAACAAAAAGATAATAAAATAAAATTGTTTGAATAATCAACACAACAATATATTATAAATATTAAATATTCCCTTTTCTATCAAATCTATATTGCTATCATATTCATATCAACTTTTATCATCGACTTTATCAGCCTTTAAATTTTTCATTTATTATACTTTACTTTATAAAATACACATTAATATATGTGTATATATATGTATATATATATATATATATATATATATATATATATATATATATATATATATATATATATATATTTATATATTTATATATTTATATATATATATATATATATATATATATATATATATATATATATATATATATATATATATATATATATATATATATATATATATATTATAAAAGTATTCCTATTTCTTTAGCTGCAGTCGTTTTCATCATTTTAGGTTTTAAATTTCTTCAACTTATTTTGCTTGTAGGCAAAATCAATCAATTTCATGGTTAATGTTTGATGTAAATAGTTGCGTTTGACATAAATAGACTTGCAAATTTACTTAATTTAAATTCCTTTAAATGTTACTAGTAGTACTAGTAATATTTAAAGTCATATTTAAAGTCATGAATGTTTTATAAAATCTTTTTTTTTTTTTTTTTTTTTTTTATTATCCCTTTTTTCAAATTGCTCTGAAAGCATCTTTGCATGTATTTTATTTTTGCGAAAGGATAAAAAAAATTTTATGCAGCAGTAGTTCATTTTTTTGGAGTACAACAGTGTTGAAATGCTTCATATATAAAATACTATTCATTTACAAAAAATTAAATATACGTAAAAATGCTTTCAGAGCTATTTGAAAAAAGGGAATCGTTGCAGTTTATAAATATAGGCAATGGAATATCTCGAAAAACAAAACATTAATAATTTCATTATCAATATCTCTAACATTCTATCGAATTTTACTTAGCTCAGTAGTTATCTTTGCTCATGTTTACGGTCTAACAACGCATCCATTGTAAAACCTTATTTATTTAACAAACGAATTGATTTGCTAAAATTTATTTAGAAATTATTTAAAAAAAAAAAATTTCTTTTAATAAAATATTAACTTTTAAAATCTATTTATCTAGAAATTATTGTGTATGTAAAATAGAAAATGACAAAACAGAAAAGATTCACCTGAAAGTATTTTTTGAAAACTTGTGAAAGTATTTTCTGAAAGTAAGTTCTTAAAATATTTATTTGGATGAAAAGTGACTTTCAAGGTGGATGTGCGTTGTATACGTAAATGCGATATCTGTAGTTTATATAAAGTTAATATAAATTCACCACTGATGGGCCAGTATCAACCCGATAAGATGTTGTTCTGCTTCGGCAAATCTTTGCTGGAGCGTTAAAAGTTCCGCGGCTACTCAGCTCAGGCAATGTTATAAAGGTTCGGCAATAGCCCTGTTACGACTTCCCTAAACTGTCAATCCAAGAACAAAACTCTATCGCTCCTCTAATGAAATATATATATATATATATATATATATATATATATATATATATATATATATATATATATATATATATATATATATATATTTATATATATTTATATATATTTATATATATTTATATATATTTATATATATTTATATATATATAATTTTTTTTTTTTTAGAAATCTTACCGAGATAATGATATTCTGTATCGAGGTGATGTTTTAAACAAAAAACACGAAGATCGATTCGAAAAAACTAAATCAGAAAGTTTTGGTAAAGTTTTCAGTAAAGATAACGGTAAGTTTTTCATTAATGACGCCTCTAATACCGTCTTAACGTATAGTCTACAAGGACACTGCCCGTAGACCCGCAATAAAAGGGGCACTGGCGCCCATAAATTAAATTCATTGCTCAAGTAAAAATTACATACATATACAAGTAAAAATTATAAATAAAAATTTGCCTGAATAGGAGAAAAAATGTAAAACAATATTTAAAAATAAAAATATTTTCTTTACAAAATTGTAATAATAAAAAAAAAAATAATAATAATATATACATTTTTTTTATTTGCTATTTTAATTGTGAATTTAAGTGTGGCAATCTTATTGCCGAATAAAAAAATAATTTACGATTACTCAGGATGCACACGTGCATTAGAACTATATGGATTAATACAAATTTGGGAAGACATCATTTTGATATTTGATCAGGAAACAGGTTACATTGAACGAGATTTTGTATTATATTTTTAAAAAGCATATAGTAGTATATTTTAAAAAGTATATATTAAAAAGTTTTCTATTGTTTGATTGCTCACAACTCATTAATAATAATTTAGTAAATAATAATTTATAAAATTGGTATATCAGTTGGAAATGCTTTATTTAAATTGTAGATATTTATATATTTCTGCTTTTGAAACAATTTTTTTTTAATATTTTACGTTTTCTTAATAAATAATAAAAGGATTAGTTTTTCTTATATTTTATAAACTTAAGCTAATAAAAAATTAGCTTCTTAGCAGAATGATCTGACACAATGATCTGACACAATAGAACAGAAGCGCTTATTTCTGTTTACTGATATGCATAGAAAATGCCCTTTAAAGAGCATTGATGTCGACATTATCGTTAAAGAATTTATTTATTAAAATAATTCTAAACATGAAACATAACCAAGTTTTGTTTCATGATTATAATGTTCTGTTAACTATTTTAATAGTTTTTGTTTTTTAAAAATTAAATAAAAAATAAGATTATAAAACACAAAAATTGTGTTTTGTATTATCTAGCATTACCGACATTAAATAAATTAAATAAATGAAAAAAACTTTTTTTTTCTTTTTTTTTTTTTTTTTTTTTTTTTTTTTTTTTCTTTTTTTTTTCACTTCTATGTGTGAAATCCTTCTTTAAAAAAAAAAAAGCTTCTGAACAATTATATTTTTAACGAATTTATTTAAATAAAATTAAATATATATATATATATATATATATATATATATATATATATATATATATATATATATATATATATATATATATATATATATGTATTTAATTTAAATATCTTTTTTTTATATTCAAATTATCCCAAACTTTATAATCCAAAAAAACCTTCACTTAAGAAAACTTCATCAATTAACTTAAAGAAGAAGAAAGTCCATACAAACTGTCATGCGTTTCATTCAATTTATTTTGAAAATACCTTTTGTAATAATAATTATTTCTTTTTATATCAACGTTCTCTGTCAATCTTACTTAAGTCTATTAATCACATTTCATTATAAATATTTATGTTCAATTAGCTTCAGTTGTTTGGAGTTCCTAGTTGGAATATTTACAAGTTTCATCCAAAATGATGAACAGAAATAGCTGTTCCATTCGTACGTTGCTTTGTTTTTGTTTTTTTAGTTTTATTATGTCCTAGGTGATAAATTTTTAGTTTTCTTGCGTTTTCATAATTAAGGCGTTTTTGTTTTTTTTTCCATTCTACCTTAATAATTTGACAATGCACATAACGTAAAAAATTTTATATCAGGTTTAGTCATTAATTAATAATTTATACGGAAGGTTTAGTAAAAAAAGGTTTAATACGAAAGGTTTTGTAAAAAAAGGTTTATAAGGAAGGTTAAAAAGGTTCAGATAATTAGATAATTTTTTTGTTTTTAAAAAACATTGTTTACAAATCTTATAAAAGAAAATACCGATTTCTAAACAAAAAAATTAATTGCGTCACTAAGTAAACTGTTGGGTCAGTCGCGCGATAAATTTCGAGAAAAAAACTTTTATATTCTTTGTCACGACTCTTTTATATTTACATTATTTTTATTTCTTTATTTTTCGTATTTCTTGTTGCTCACCTTCCAACAATATTTGATCTACATGAAGTAATCTTTTTATAAATGCATAATGGTATAAAACTACGAAGATGGTAGCTAATTTTTATAATGATATAAAACTACGAAGATGGTAGCTAATTTTTATAAATAAAACAAAAGTAATTGTTAAGAGTTCAACTTTTCAAAGAAATTAAACGGACAGAAAAATTTAAAAGTTTTTTATTTTTAAATCTTGTTATAACTTATTTTTTTGATGAGATTAAGGAATAATTATTGATTACAAAAAAATTATTTTCAAGTCTTACAAAATATGTTTACATCAAAATTTCTTAAAAATAAACTTTAAAAAGTCTCATTAACTTAAGAAGGAACTTAATAAAGAGTTAAATATTGGTTTTATTTTATATATATACAATGTATGGACTTTTATTTGTTAGGTTTGCGGTTTTTATTGAGTAAGTGTTTATATTGACAAAAATAAAAAACAAACTTCCGAACAAACTTGAATTATAATGATATTTTTGCAATCAAAACCTGATTTTGGTATTTTCAAACATTTATAATTTTATTTTGTTATATACGCTCATTAATATAATATAAGGTTCATTTATTTATTTTTATTAACGGTTTTTTTGTAATTCTTGTTTTATTTTTGTCTCTTAGCTCGTTAGTTTTCTCAAACTTAAATTTCTTTATATTAAAAATTATCATTTCATTTATCTTTATTCCATTTGAAGATTTCTTTTTTACTAGCATTTAAGCTAAAGTTTGATGTTTTTTTCATTATTTATATAAGAAAAAACTGAATGAATATTTTTGATCTGATTCTTCTCGCTGCTTGTTGGAAATCCCTAAAAGCATTTGTTGGAACAAGTTAATCCCTTAAAGCATTTTACTAAAAGTTTTCTTTAGGTATAAAACATAAAGTGCCAGCATGGTGTGTGTGTACATGAATTAGCAGTGTAATGTTTTTAAAACTTTTCAAGTTTTTTTTTTTCAATACTTTATTTAATTGAAAAAACTTTTTAGCAACAAAGTGGTGTAAGGTAATGTGATTGGTTGTATTTTTACACAAGTTTATTTATATTTATATAATTATGTAGATCCGTTTGACAACTTAGAATCCAACGCTCGTTTCTCACAAACTAATGATACTGTATACCAGTTGCATACGATGACCTTAGATCGAGACAAGAAAAAACAATCCAAATTGAAAAAATTCTTTCGAAAACTTGCCTCCAAAAAAGATGACAATAAAGTTGAGTTCGAATATTGTGGTATTCGTGAACCATCAACGCCAACTCATGGTATAAATTCATTTGTGTCAGATAAAAATATAATTTACAGACCTAGTGACAACATTTTTATGTCACACAGTTTACAAGACTTACACAGTGTTAATAACAATAAAGTATTACGACAAAACTCTTTTTATTTCACGCCAACGTCTAAAAGACGCGTATTTAGTTTCAGTTTTATGAAAAAAGGCAGAAATCGAAGTACAACAAGCTGTCACGTCATAACGGACACTCAAACAGACTTGTTACCGCCATCTGATATTGTGCAAACCTGCAGCCCCGTGATGGGTCAACGAAGTTATCCTATAAAAATAGCAAGGCGTGTTTCTGACCCTTATGTTTATAGAATATCTCCAGTAACTCATAAATTAAATCCAGTTTTTAATTTTAAAAAAGATAAAAATTCATCATGCTCTAGCGCAAGTAGTAATGACAACGACGGAAACGACTATATAAACTATCCTTTCTCAAAAAACAACATGCAACCTCCAAGAAAACCGATACGATCTAACGACACAGGTGAAACAATTTTTATAATTTCTATAGTATGACTCAACTTTACTCGAGAAAAACAATTTTTCAGTATAACAAAAAACATATAAATAATAACAAATAAATTATTTATAAACAGGGGGCAAATACAGACGTGGATTTAGAGAATTTTTTAGTTAAAACACAAACAAAAAGTCAACATCTTTTTTATAAAAATATTTTTGTAAAGTGTAGCCATATGCTATATTTATTTAAAGTTATAAAAAATGTTGAATGCCTTCGTATCTAAAAAACTAAACTAATTTATATTAAAATTAAATTTTTGACATCAAATATTTATATAAAAAATTATTTATATTATAGTAGAAATTTGAAGACAAAAGTCCTGTACCTGCCCTTGATATAATAATTGACTTAACAAAAGATAACAAATATCATGTTATGTTTTTTTTTTTTTTGTTTTTTTACATTTAATGAGTCTAATTAATTATTAATGTCTAATTATAGGTGTTGCCAATGATTCTATTTCAACACATGCAACTGTTCGACCATCTGACTCGTGTTTATCAAATCATATTGACCAAAAGTTCAAAATAGTTTCTGACCACGAAGAATCTAACAGTTCTATTACAACCAGTAATTGCGATTATATTCTTCGTTGTAATTCTTCTGATTCGTCGCTATTTGGCGAAAGTATGTCGACAAGAAGTTCCAACTCGAACTCTGATACAGATTTTCCTGTCAAGAAAAAAGAAATTTTCAAAGAGAATATTAGTTCCAACTCTTTACGACGGACTCCTTTAAGACACGCGGATGACAGCTATAGTAAAATTGTGGAAGTTCATAAGCAAGCTGTGGAGAAAATTGCTCGTCAGGTTTCTACGCTACATTGCAGCTGCAATTCTCTACACGAACTTGGGTGGGATGATTTTGAACGCAAAGAAGATCACATACAGTTGGGTTTGTCTAATTACATTGTTATTCCTGTGAAACGAGGAGATAATAAACTATATAGTGCTTGGGTGAGTTGATTTCTTTTTTTATCATACTACCAAGGAAAACGAATGATTGTTTGCCTTCTTTCTTTAAGAATACTTTTCAGCACTAAATAATTACCCAGGGTTATTATGCTTATAAATTTTCTAAATTTTTTTACCTCTTTTTTGTGTGTTCAGATGAATCATTCATCAATACCCGATATAAATGTGGATTATATAAAATCAACGTTACATCCAAATTGCTTACATGTATGCCATAAAATAGTTCAAAAACAGGTAACTCCGCAAGACGGTATACCAAAAACAATTCAAATTAATTCTGTTTACATCTCACCAATGATACCCAAAATGACTCTGTCAAAATATGTGTCGCTTACTCTTGAAAAACATACCTTGATTCCAGAAGCGTATGAGCGTGAATCAGCAATGATTCTTTTACAAGCAGTTAAAGGTCTTCAACACCTCTACAAGAACAATTTGCAGATATCATCTATTAATTGCGAAAATATATTTATTCTTGATACGGGAGAACATTCTGTAGTGCTCTCACCGAGAAAGAAACCTAACAGATGTCCTTCAATTATAGTCGGGGAATTACCTGGAATGAACTGTTTGCTCCCAGAAAAAAAAAGCATGATAACAACCGTATGTCACGAGCTTGCATTTGTTCTTTATGAATTACTTCACTGTCCGTATCATGACGAGTTACGAGATGCACACGATATACCGATGCTTCAAGCAACGTTGCCCACACTTACAATAAAAAGTATTTATACTCGTTATTTACAGATTGTTATAAACTTTCTAGTTGGATCTTATATGCATACAATTAAAACATTAAGAGACATTCGACTTATGCTTGAAGTTTTGCTGTTTGGACCTACGGAAATTGATAAAAGTGCAAGTCTTGATCTCATAACTAAATGGCAAAATAGACGTTGTGTTGACATTGTTACACATCTTTTACAAGCAACCCCAATAATAATGCTCACTGGCACGTCTGGAAAATGTACTCCAATTGATCAAGAAATAATATTGGAATCGGAGTTTTTATCAGAGATTAGCCCTGAGGAAATTCAAAGTATATCCTTTATGTTAAACAGATAGATTATTTGATTCGTTTTACGAATTAATATTTGTGTTGTTTATTATTTTTGATGCAGGTTTCTGCGTTTTTTATATTGCACCTGCTTAAGAATTCAACGCATAAAAACGTTTAACGCTTTTATTGCTTTATACAAGTTTTATAATTTCTTATAAATTGGATTTTTCACCATCTCTTTATTTAAAGTGAGAAATAAAAAAGAAAGATGATTGGAATGTTTGAATTTGAATGATTTGCTCAACTTTAATCGTTTAAATTGATCTGTTTAAGTTTCATTTTATTAGTTGTTTAAGTTATATATATAATCTAGGTGTGAGCAAAGCCGGATATTTGGTCCGGTTTAAATCAGATTTTAACAAACCGGATCGGATATCCGGTCCGGTTTGTTGTAATCTGTAGTTGGAACTATAGGTGGGCACAACCGGATATCCGGAATAGACTAATTAAAATCACCCTTAGATAAAACCTCTAACTTGGAAGTTTTAACTACGGATGAGGAAAACCGGATATCGGATCCGTTCGTTAAAATCCGAATTCAATTTCAGCAAACCGGACCGGATATCCGGTTTTGCTCACGCCTAATATAATCATTATTTGAGGCGCGAAAAGTGTTTGGTTACCAATTTTCCAGAGTCAGACAATTTTCCTAACGCACAAACTTTTTAATCTCAGAATCTTCTAATATTTAAATGGTTATTAGGAAATCGTTCAATGTTTTCATATTTTTTATTTCAATTTATTAATTATTTAAATTTTCATACTACCTAGGGGTCATTCGCAAATTATGTCACACATAAAAACAACTTTTTGGACCCTTCCCCCCTCCCCCACTTGTCACAAAGTATCACAAAATATTACCCCCTCCCTCCCTTTGTCACGTCACACTAAAAATTTTATCTTTTTTTTTTATTTATAAAAAAACAACAAGTATTCTTCAGTTAAAATTTTTATTACTACTTAATATTTTCCCAAATAGGATCAAGATGTTCTGCGACAGAAAAAATTGGAATTGACTGTTCTTGTACACAACCTAGCGCTTCTATAAAAAAATCAATAAAGTTTGATTCTTATTTGATTATTATCATTATTTTCTTACTTGATTATTTCTTCTGATTTAAATCTTCTAAGAAAGCAAGTTGTACATTTTCTTCCTTTTAAATAATCTTCTTTTGGTTTTTGAACTTTATTCTCTTTCGGATGAACTATTTTATGATTATTAAGCAAAGTTAATGATGCAAAAAAAATGTTGCACTTTTTGCACACTCTACATTAAAGGATTGTTTTGATACTTGGACAGTGTTGGTCAAACGGAATATTTTTTGGAGCAAGATGTAGAGATTGGAAAAGAGACGTATAGCGATAAGTCTTGTCAATTGAACACTGTGACTCAATAAGAGGGCATTAACATAAAGGAATGAGAGGTGGAAGAAATTTTTCTTTAAAAATTTGAAAATATTTTCCGCGTGGCTCAGTACAGCATTTGATGTCAGGATATTTTGAAATCTGCAACATATATTGACTAGATCTTACATAAACAGCAATCCATTCTTGACTTTTTTTAATTACTACTTCGGTATCAATTTCTAACTCATTATTAGTTATTTGTATTTCCAGAAGAATTCAAATGTGATCCATAAGTTTCGTTAGGCAAAATTAATCCTGAAGGTTCGCGTGGAAGTCGAGCCATTCTTCGTTCAATTGGATTGAATGCACTTCTGTGTGGTGCATTTGTGGCAATTATGAAAGAATCCAAAGAAAAAATAATGAAGTTGTGAATGGCCATTTTAATAGTTTTTTGATATCTGGGGTTTTCATCTGGTCCTCCGTCAGTAAACATTATAACAATTGGCTTTGTATTACCATTCAAATCCAACATAATGTCTTGAAATAGCGGTAATTTATATAATTTTGCAAAATCTCTTGCGTGAGAATAAGCAGTGGATTTCCAATGTTTTGCTGATCTTATTGAAATATAGGTAGGACCCGAGTAGCGCACAAATTCTTTTTTGCCGAATCCATCTTTTTCAACTTTTAGCCCAGCGTAGATTGATGAAATAAATTTATGACATGGAGCAATAACAAAATTGTAATCAGGTAATCTTACCTTATATTCCATATGCATCATCAAGGGAGCTTGTAAAGTAGCTGCTGGTAGGCCAATTGGCGCTTTTGACTCACTAAAGCAACTTCATCTTGTCTCAAGAATGAAGCCAATTCCATTAAATACTCAATAGAAGCAAAACAAAATTTCGTATCCTGATGATCTTTATGAAGATCTCTTCCTGGTTTGTGTTATACAGGAACAGTAGTGATATGGTTCTTCCCATCTATTGTGTGAGAATTTTTTGGTGCAAGATAATAATAGACTGTTGATCTGCCAATTGTAAACCCTTCATTAATCAAAGCTTCTGTTAACTCACCAAGAGATTAAACTGTTCTTAAAGTCTTGCATCTTCGTTTGTCAGCTGCAGCAGCGCCGTGAGTCGCAATCTGAATAATTGTTGATAGTAATTCCAGTTGACTTTCAATAACAGAAGGGCATCCAGCTTCTTCATGAATTCTTAATTAAGAGGCAATCTTAGGCAATCTTTTAAGATCTCGGCCAATACTTATTTCTTTCTTTCTTGGCATTCTTTCTGTTGTTTACGACTATCCTCAAGTGAATTTTAATTCTTTTTTGATACTATTTTTTCTTTTTCCAAATCTTTTATTTTTGAGTTATCACATTCAGAGAGCATTCCGAATTTTTCTCGAAGCAAAAGCGAAATAAGTTCTGACTCCACAATTGAAAGCTTTTTGATCAAAACGTCTTGTTTTGGTCGGAGAGTGTGTTGATCATGTGATGACACAGTACTTAAAACTTGAGATATTTGAAAGGTGGAACTATTTGCTTGAGAAACTGAAACTGATGAAGTTAACAACGCTGAATGGTATTTGAAAGATGCTGCTTTTGAACTATTGATGGGTTTGAAAAAGCTTCATATAGTTCTTTTGGAATTATTCTTTGTTACTTGAAGCTCCAGAATTTTAACCTGCCATTTATTTTGAAAATCAGGATCATTTTTTTTCAAATTCCAAAAGATGTTGCAATCATTTTGCGATTGTGAGTTTGGTTTGCTTGACAGATGTACTTCAGTCCATGCATTGAAAACCTCTTTGTAGCAAATTTTTTTATCCATTAATTTCTAGAAGTTTTAATACCAGACATTTAATATATATATATATATACAGGGGCGGATACAGGTTGTAAAGATAGGGGGGGCACAAATGGGGTAGGGTTTAAGGGGAGTGGGTATCCCCTCCCCTCAATAATAAAATAGATTGACATTTGATATAAACAAAACCATTTATATTGAAACAAATAGACTTTACGAAAGTTTGTTGTTACTTATTTGCTACCATTTTTATTTTTTTCCCTACAAACCGCGTTATATGAATTTGGCTAATGGCCGTAAGTCATAACGCCAACGTATATATTCTATTATAGAACGAAAAGTAGCCTGGACCCTGAAAACGCTGTTAGTTTTATAGAGTGAATGTCTGTCTTTTATAGAGTGAATATCTGACCTGAGAATGGATCGACATAATTATAAATAAAAAATTAATCAAATTTTAGGGGGGGGGGGGCACGAGCTGGCTGTGCCCCCCTCTAAATCCGCGCCTCATATATATATATATATATATATATATATATATATATATATATATTTAAATGACTAAAACTATTTTTGTTAAAATGACTAATTACATGTTATTAAAAAAGTACATATATTAAAATAGTGTATATAATGAGCAAAGTAAACTAGAAAAATAATAGACAAACAACTCAAACACATACTATATAGACGAGGACAACCAAAAACGCTACTCAACAAAGAAATAAACTATGCAAATCAAAAAAATTAAGAGTAAATACAAATTTTCTTTGCTTTATTTTTCCTTTTTTTCGTTGGAGAAACTGCTTTTATCCTCTTCTTTCAAATTCCTTTTTTTTCAAATTTACTTTTTAATTAACTTTAAAAAAAAAAAAATTAGACAAAGTTAAGGAACAATATATATATTTTTTTCTTATTTTTTGTTTCACTTTTCAATTTAAATTTTTTTTTTTTACTTTATAGGGTTACTAATTATTTGTTTATTTATTTATTACTTTTTTCATTTTCTTCTTTACTTTTCAATTTACTTATAAAAAAAAGAAAAAGTTAAAAAGTCATAAATCATCGCCTTCAGCAATGCCACTGCATTGATAATACATTTGTATATTTGTATAGCTTTGTATATTTTATACATTTGAATATTTAAGCTAATTTAAAAGCTATGAACGTGGTCATATCATCCGTGACGTCACAAATTTTTCCAACCCTAAAATGTCACAGCTTGTCACAAAATCAAAGACCCCCTCCCCCAAAAAGCGTGACGTAATTTGCGAACGATCTATACTAAACTTAAAAAAAAAAAATTGGGGGAAAAAATTGCAGTTAGTACAAGTTTTTAAGAGACTAGTCAATGTTTTAAAGAAAAAATTGATTAGTAAATAACTTTACTTTGTTTAACAACATAGAGTTAAATTCCTTCCTCATCCTTCCTAAACAGTTTAAAAAAATTTTTATGATAGCAACAGCGGAATTATCACTTTCCAGTCTGCAATGACTAAATCACAATTAAACATCACCACGGGAAAGTATATCTATAAAACTGTTTAAGATACTATCGCATGCTAACTATTTTTTAAACGAATGTGTGCTGGCAAAAGATGGTTAATCATGTTAAAAAGATGATTAATCATGTTGTGTGTCCTATAAATGTACAAATTTTGTTATTGAAAAAGTAGAAGACGATGGTCTTATCATCTAGCCCCGTTAATTTCTGTTATATTTTACAATCAATAAATCATAAATAATTTGTGTCTATTTTATAACCAGTAAATTATAAAACAGACACAAATTATAAGATATTTGTAGCACATTGAAATAGTCTATTTTCTATAAATAATCGCGACATGGCGTTTAAAGGTTCTTGGCCCGTGGC